AGGAAGATTTCTTTGAGGTAAAAAGATACAAAATAATTCCTTTATACGATCCATCTTATTTAATAAAGGGAATCCGGAACAATTTATTCAATAAAGATTTAATTTATGAAGTTGACCAATGGACTTAAAAAAGTTAAAAGACTTTATTAGAATTGTAACAGAAGAGGTTCTTAAGACTGACCTCATTGTTGTCGCTACAGTTTGTAATCAAAGTGCAGTTAATGTTGGGGCGACTGCAGATTTGATGGAAATAAGTAAAGCAAAACATTTGCGCAAAGGGAAAGAGTGTCAGGAAGATTTCTTTGAGGTAAAAGGATACAAAATAATTCCTTTATACGATCCATCTTATTTAATAATGGGAATCCGGAACAATTTATTCAATAAAGATTTAATTTATGAAGTTGACGGTAAAAAAATATTGTTAAATACTTGTTGTAACTAACCTTTCGTATTGTTTACATTCCTTAGATGCATATCATTAATTATGTTCATACCGATCATAATCATATCATACCGATAAGTGGAATAAAACTTTTTAGTTTTATTCCACTTATATTCTTCACTTTGTCAATTTTATACCTGTAATAAGTAAAATTCTGTAATACAAATGTATCCAAATCTCTACGAACTTTCATCCTATGTTTTTGCCTATATACAATATTGTAAACTCCTACCTGTAGCTTTTTAATTTTTCGTTTTATGTTTTACTATTTCTAATGATATTTAAGCACTTATTTATATAATATTACAAAATTTATCGCTAATTTTAATTGTTTTGACAGATTTGACATCAAAGTTTCTTCGTTGCTATGGTTATATTTTACACTCTTCATGAAAATTGACTCACTGTTTGTCATTTTTATTAAATAAATTGAAATCATTTACTTCCAAATTTGAGCTCGCCTCAAGTATAAAAAGCCTTGTCTGTGTAGTTCTACATCATTTCAACGACAACAGTTGCCCAAGTTAGCGTACGGAGCTAGCTAAATTTTTTAAAAGGCCTATTTCTCGGGGCCGACTGGGAAACTCGGGAACTCTTCAAAGTTAAGGTTTCAAAGTCATTTGACACTATTTTGGCTGTAAGTAAACGTCAATAAATCGATACTAACAGTGCTGAACTAAACCTCATTCACCACCTTCAAGCTTGGACGGAAATATTTTCTCCTGAAGCTGTCTACGAGTCTTCATCTGGAGGCCCGAGCTGCTGATCCGTTCTGGGCTACGAAATAACCATCTGCTCGACATATTGAGAGACGCCTCGTCGAGAAGGTGCTCCAGAACTTCGCCGCTGACCCACGCCCCATCATCAGAAGCCTTGCGTTGACGACGACTATTTCTATGCTGACGGAACGGAATTTCGCCGATGACCTGTGCCCCATCACCAGATCACCTACGCTGACGACGGCTATTTCTGCGCTGACGGAACGGAACTTCACCGCTGACCCACGCCCCTTTCACCAGATCACCTACACTGACCCTCTTTCACTCTAAATACCTCACTACTCACCTCACCAGTCACGTCGTCACTTATTTATTTATTTATTGTAAATAAATTATTTAATTCAAATAACCCTCATTTAGTTTATTTATTCTTGTTTCATAACATACTTCCAAATGGTATATGAGGCTGATAAAGCTCAAGAAGAGTTGAGACTTCTTAACAAATTAAACAAAGAGCATATCACAAAGAAAAAATAAATAAAATGCACGTTAAATTGGCAACTCAATTATTTAGCCCATACTGTTGCTGTTGTAATTGTAATTAAGCATTTGTCAGCGAGAGGCGAGTTACCTATCGAATGCTGCCAGCTAATTGATATTACTCTATTAGTAAATAAAATTTTCGACTTGATTAACAGTAGTACCCTGGCCGTACCTAACGGCAAAGAGTTTAAAGGGTCTGTGAAATTTTACTCTCCTCACCATGAGTTGTGGCAAAAAGCGAAGAATATTTTTAAAACTGTTAGATTTGTTCAACCATGTAAGAATCAAAATAATTATCAGTTGGCTGAATATATAGTCCCATCTGTCAAAAATCTAATAAAAACAATTGAAGGTATGGTCACTTTGAAAGATGTTAAGTAGAAAATATAAAATAAATGCTGTTCTCTCAAGAAACTTCAATCAAGACTCTGTTGAAAATGTCTTCGGGGGTATCTGATAACCATTTACTATTGTCAAAAATGAAGGTTTTCGCAATTTGATTAAAGTTATTGCGCCTCATTATAAATTTCCCAATAAAACAACCTTGGTTGATGATGAATACGCAGCATTATCAACAGTCTTCAAAGAAAAGTTGTCAATTATAGAAAACCTTACTCTTACTACCGTCATGTGGTCTGAAAGAATGACGATGAGTTTTTAGGAATAACTGCACATTTCGGTGTTGGCAATGAACTATTTTCAATTAGTCTTGGAGAGTACCAGTCAAATGAACGCCATACTTCAGAACATATGGCTGAAATGCTGCAAAAAAATTGTACTGAATGGGGTATTGCTAGAGATAAAGTGGCTGTAGTGACAGACAACGCAGCCAATATGGTAATTCGATTTGGCTTTTGGAAAAAGACATATACCATGTTTTGCCCATATTCTGAATCTAGTGGCACAAAATTCTATGCAACAGTATACAGAGCTGCAAAACTTAATAATTAAAGTCAAAAATATTGTGACATGGTTCAAACAGAGCAATATAGCTAGTAATGAATTACGTGAAGCCACCCAGAAAGAGACTAAATTGATTCAAGAAGTCCCAACCAGATGGAATAGTACATATTACATGATAGAAAGATTTTTGGAGCTTCATATCATCGTTAATGATATGATTATTCGTCACAAAAATGCACCACCGATGCTTACTGCGTCAGAACTATCAATTCTATGTTCAGTATTACAAGTTCTGCGACCAATCGAAGCTGCAACTAAAGAAGTGTCAGGTGATAAGTATTGTACTAGCAGTAAGGTATTACCACTGATCCACTGCCTTCTTTTAAAAATTAAGCCTCTTAAACTCGAAGAACCTCTTGCGAAAGAATTGCAGTCGCTGATACTTAAAGAGATTGACAAGAGAATGGGTGTTATAGAGAAAGTAACTCCGCTCGCTATAGCTACGATATTAGATCCGAGGTTCAAAAAAATGCATTTTACAGACTTAGTTGCTTGCTCTTTGGCTGTAGCAAAAGTCAAAGAATTAATGAAAACTACGATACAAAATGAGGTCGTGGAATCTGATTCTTCAGATCATTCTGATAAACCAGAAGATTTTTCTTTGTGGGATGATCACCACAAATTAGTCCACAAGAGCTGGAAAACGGCAAAGTCTGACGATGGATGACGAGCTCTCTATTTACTTGCGTAGTCCTGTAGGAAGACTCAATGAAAACCCGTTGGACATTTGGAATGATCTGAAAATCCAGCTTCATATCATAGCTTACAAATACTTGATTATGGTGGGAACTTCAGTACCACTGAGCGTTCATTTTCTAAAGCAGCACAAATCGTCAATCAGCAACGAAATAGGCTGAAAGGGCAACAACATATTGGTCAAGGTCTTTTTTTGGAAGACCTTGACCTATATGTTTGTACTTTGAAAATAAATAAGTTTTTAAATTGCCTTGTTTTTTAATTAACAACTAAATCAGCGAAGGTTTGCATGAAAGGTCTCTTTTTCCTTTAACACACAACAGGTGGGCAGACAAGAAAAAAGCTGTTGTAGAAGCAATAGATAGTTAAAAATTGTGTTTTTTTATGGCGTGTCAGGGGCTGACTAATACTTTGTGGTGCAATGTTTGGAAAATTACTCGATTTTGAGAAAACATCGATGCTTCTAACCGATACATCGGATAATATCGACACATAACCTCGATGTATTGCATCGAAAGAAAACATCGATATATTTCCTAAGCGGATACCCCTAGAGTATCAGGAGTTATAGGCCAAGAAATATTGCCCCAAATACATTTTGTTTTGAGGGTGCCTTCAATGCGTTAATGGTGACAAACATGAATTCTCCTCTCCCACGACGAGCCAATGGTGAGGAGAATTCAAATGAATGCCTACAAATCTTGGACTTTTTTTTAAAGAAACAAATATTATTACTCTAAAAAATTATTATTCTAATAATTATGTTTTCTAAAAGTTTTATCTAATTGTATTTTTTCCGAAGTTTTAAAATAAATAAATACAACAGATACATAACATAAATACAACAGGCGAATTAATAATGGTAACACTGGCGGAAATATCTATTCGATTCTTTTTTAATAATAAATATTAACTTACAATTGAGTAAGGATAAGAGAGTAAATGACTGCAAGCCAACCTATACAAAATTTATTTTAAGGTTTGCTTGCGTTTTTCAACTGAATATTTATTTTTCTATTGCGTGTAAACTGGCAACCTTTTTGTTTGATGTATGGCACTTTGTGTACTTAAACCTTTCATTTGAAATAAGAACTTACTAACTTTTTACCCAACATAACAAATAAACTAAAAATCAAAATCTTAAACAGAGGCGTCCTGATTCCACAAGCGATTCTTTACCTCCCCAGGCTGCTCGCAGCCCGGGGCGTCCAAGCGCTAGCTAGTTAATTTATATAAATTTGACCATGTAATTTAAGTTTATTATAATTACTAAATAAAAACTTTTTTTAAATAGAACTGACTACAAACTTTTAAGATATGTTAAATAATACTCGTACTTATCTCAGAAGCTTTACGAAAAAGAACTCACACCATGTTGATGGTGAATGTGATGTACTGAACATGAACTTTTTTACGAAAAAGAACTCACCATTTGTAACTACAGAATGTATTGTATTTTAAATGAATGTATTTTATTTTAAAGCCTGTGGAACAAATGACGAGTATTATATCTGGCGAATAATATCAAACGTTATCCTGTCTCATTCCTTAGTCGCGGCGTACAAGCGGCACTACGAAATTGCAGTGTTAAGTCTGAAGTTAAACTTAAAATTACTGGACATTTTCGATTAGCAGTCATGAGATTAATAAAACTGTTGCCAAAGCAACCTTCATGGATCCAAGATTTAAGAAAGCTGGTTTTGGCGTCGAAAGAAGACGAGTTAATCATGTTAGAAACATCGGACTCTCAAGTTCGACTGCAAGTCCCAAATACATCTCCACAACCATCTGCATCACATCTCGTAACACTTTCTAATTTATCTTCAGATTCCCAGCAGATAACTTCTAAGGTGACCAGCGAGAATTTATGGAAGCATCGAGATGAGAAGGTAATGGAATTTTCTAGCATGGAATACCCCTCAACTTCCGCAATTGTCAAGGTGAAACAGTAGTATGTAGAGCTACCGTTTTTGGATAAAGTCAATCCACTTAAATTTTGAGAACTCCGCAGTCACCAACAACGGCCTTTATAAAGTAGCTATGAAGCATTTATGCATTTCAGTCACTTCTGTGCCTTCTGAACCAGTTTTCTCTAGGACTTTTATGCAACCAACACCGCAATAGACTAGAATCCAAGAAGGTTAACCAAATAATTTATTTGAACAATTATTTTAAATAAAATTTATATCCCTATTTTGTTTTGACTGATTTTTTATATTAATTTATTTAGGTATCTTAAACAATTAGAAATCAATAGCTTATTTAGTTATTTAATATTTATTTAGTTTGTGTACTTTTATATATTATGAAAACGCTGGTTTGATTTAAATTTTAGGTAGAGAATCAAGAGTTTAGACATAATTGAGTAATTCTACGATAAAAGGTAACTTGTGCGGCAATCAGTTTAAAATAGAAATTTCATTCTATATATTATTATTTTTTGCAATGAAACACATCACCTAAATGTACTTTATTAAATAATCACGATTAAATGCCTTATTAAAGTATATTTTTCTGAAATTCCGTATAAAGTCTAAAAAAGTCTCTACCCTGGCCTGTTCCCTTGTCGGTTTCAGTTTAATTTGCAAACGATACATACCTTCTTTGTATCAGTTATTAAACTAAAGTATGTTAAACACAAATTTTAATAAATATATTTAAGTATTGTTAAGGAAAAATAGAACAATATTTATTTATTTGCAATATTTTTTTAAATCTAACTTTTCATCCACTGTTTTTGGGTATCTACCCTGGCAAACTTCAAACAAACACAAATATAAAACGACCATATTCCAAATAGCGCTCAAGTTCATCTATTGACGTGAAGTTAGCGATGAAAAACACGTGAGTCGTTAAGAGCGCTGTCATTTGTTAGTTGTTGCGAAGCGTTGGTTCAAAGTGGTTTCGTGAGGTCATTGTGCCTCTCCACTGGTAAATCATAAAAGTTATATTATTCATTTAATTTATTTACATTTACTGGTCTAATTTAATACTGATGCAATAGTTAAAGTGTGATACATAATTTATCGAAACATTTCTTATGTCAATTAAAACAATAAAATTTATCATGAAAACGTCTCTTCCCTGCCATTTTTCCCCTGGCAAGATAACTGTCAGGGGAGAGACTTGTTGATCAGGGAAGATAATGTTAGTGCAAACAAACTTAGATATAGCATATTTTTATCAACGAACAGTTTTAAATAATTTTGGTAAATACTTAGAACTGAAAAATTAAGGAGCTTCTCAGTTCATATTGTTATCATATTATTGTCTAATATTATTACAGATCATGGCACCACGGACAAAAGTTAACACGTGAAGAAAGATTACAGAAAAAACGTGAAGCAGAGAGACTAATTTATGAAAGGATTAAAAATGATCCAGAAAAATATGAATTGCAAAAGCAAAAAGAAAAAGCAAAGTATTAAAAAGAAGGAGAAAGGAATTATAGAGACTGTCGACCTAATGATTCCTAGAGAGCAACGTAAGGCACGAAAGATATAGAAAAAGAAAGCAAGAGAGCGTAGGCAACGACTTGCGCTTCAAAATGCGACTAATCTTTCGGTAACGCCATCGATGTCAGATAGTAATTATCGAACTTTTAATTCTCATAGAAGAGTTATAGCTACCAAACTTAAATCAGACGGAGCGAGTAGACAAAGATATTTAATTAATAAGAAAAAAGATGAGAATTTAAATAAACTTAAGACTAAATTAGCATGTTATAAAAAAAGGTTACAAAGATCACGAAAGCCTGACAAACTGATACCTAACAGTAAAGTAGAACAAGTGTTAAATGATCCAAGTGTCAGAGAAACAGTGAGGAAAAATTTATTGTTTGCAGAAGTCCTCAATCAACAATTAAAAGAAAATTATTTCCTCTTCCAAATAATAAAGAAAAAAGGATTATTAAAAGAATTATAAGCGGGAAACTGGTGAGAAAATACGGCATACTACAGAACGAAAAAATATGAAACCTTTAAGAAAATTTGGACAAGTACGATTACTGGAAAATAAAAGAAAAGCCAAAGCAAGTTCTGACGTAATAAAGACAAAAATTATAAATTTTCTCCAAGATGATTCGAATACAAGGCTATATGCCGACAAAAGAGATTATGTGACGAAGAAAGGAGATCGCAAACAAAAGAGAGTTCTTTTGGATACTTTAAGAAATCTCCATAAATCAAGATACTTGTTTGTGCGTTACACACGCCAATATGGATCAAGATGCTCACAGCTCTATTTCAAGCTAAAGTTATCTCTGTATCAAAGCATCAAAATCTGCTTCATATAATTTGTTGCAATAGGTACAACGAAGTGTCTTTCCCGAGAATGCATAACTTGCAAAATTAAAGGACTCGAATACAAAGAATTTGATAATAATATTCTAATTGTCTGCAGAAAGTGGGTATCTGTCTCTACCAATATAACTGATCCAAAAACACATAAGGCAAGAAAAGTTATTAAATATTTGAAAAAATCAATACAGATTTGTCCTCGTGATTTGATTATGCTTTTAGAATATAATTTTGACTATTTTCTTCAACGGGAACTGAACATAGTCCACCAGTGTTCTAGACTTAAGATTAAAAAAAGCTAATTTATCTGTAAAAGAAGCTGTGATACATATGGATTTCAGTGAAAATTATTTAACTAAATACGGAGAAGAGATCCAGGCATACCATTTTGGAGGTTCGCGTCAACAGATAAGTCTGCACACGGTCGTCACTTACACGAAAGAACAAGCATCAGGTGAAGTAAAAACTACTTGCTATTGTTCGATGCCACAAAATTTGTTACATTCACCTCCAGCTATATGGACACACTTACATCCAAATGAAATTCTTAAACTATTTGAGACATACTTTTCACCAAAGAAAAGTCTAACAATAGTGAGAAATGAATTTTTCACCATACAACAAGATAACAAATCTCTGGAAGATTATTTCCAAACTGTAATAAATTTCGGCATGGCGTGTGAATCCGGTAATTTACGGGAAAGTATCACGATTTCTAAAATTATTTCGGGATTGGACCCAAAATTCAATGAATTCAAAACCAAGTTAATGGCGGAAGATGACAGTAATTTAACTCTAACATACATCATGAAGTATTTGATTAGTGCAGAAGCATCAAGATTATATGTAAATAAAAATAGTTCTGGAACCTCCAACCAGAAGTTAGAGAGTGATGCAATTTGTTATGTCAAACAGCAAAATAAAAAAGGTATGATAAAAAATTGTAAAAATTGTGGTTTATCACAACACGAAATAAGGAAGTGCCCAGCCTTTGGAAAAAAATGTTATAATTGTAACAAGTCAAATCATTTTACTAAAATGTGTCGAGCAAATATGAACAAAAGACAAATTAACACAATTGAAGAGGAAAACTACACAATGGATAAAGATAAGGATGCTGATTTTTTCATTGGATGTCTGGGCAATGAAATAATACAGGATTTTAAGGTAAAAAATAAAAAAACTATCAATTAAAATGGTCACAGGTGCAGCATGTAATGACATTGGATCTGAAACATGTAATCAATTAGGTGTGAAAGATAGTGAAATCAGTCCATGTAATAGGAGACTCATACAAGTAAATGGTAAATGCTTACCAGTTTGTGGCACTTGTAAACTTGAAATAACTCATCCAAATTCTGATAAATATATTATTAAATTCATTGTGATTAAAGGATAAATTCCCACATTGTTGGGTTGTAAATCATGTTTAAAATATAATTTTGTATCTGCCAATACTAATCTTGTAAATATTTTTGATTTAAGGTGTAAAAATAATAATTATGATGTTCAGTCTCTAACTAATAAGTTGAAATCTGATTTCAGTGAATTATTTGATGGTGGCCTTGGCTGCATCCCTGAGTCTGTAAATCTTCATCTTACTAATGACGCTGTGCCAATGTAGCAGCTGCGAGACGTATTCCATTTTCATTACTGCCTTAGCTTCGAAAGGAATTGTCAAGAATGGAAAAATTAGAAGTCATTGAAAAAGTAAATAAACCTACAAAATGGGTAAATAATTTTGTATCAGTTAGGAAATCAAATGGAAAGTTACGGATTTGTATAGATCCACGAGCACTTTATAAATACATTATTCAGCCTAAATATCAATTACCAACTATAGATGAGATTAAAAGTAAAATACATAATGCTAAAGTGTTTGCGTTATTAGATGCATCAAATGGGTTTTGGATGCTAAATTTAAACGAAGAGAGCTCTGAGCTATGTACATTCATAACGCCATATGGTAGGTATAAATTTAAACGCCTCCCTTTTGGTATTTGTTCAGCACCTGAAGAATTTAGTAGAATCATCAGAATCATCACACAGATGTTTGAAAATGTTGAAGGAGTAATCCCATATATTGATGATTTATGTATTTATGCTCAATCAATTAGTGAATTAAATGAAAGAATTAGGAAAGTTTTAGAAATTGCATCAAAAAATGGAATTAAATTTAATGTAGAAAAATGTAAATTTTTTGAATCTGAACTTCTATTTATGGGACACAAATTTACCAGCGAGGGTATGTTACCAGATCCTAGCAAAGCACAGGCAGTTATTGAAATGGAAAGTCCGAAATCTAGAAAAGATCTGGAGAGATTTTTAGGGATGTGTAACTATCTATCGCGCTTTATACCCAATTTTTCAAAAATAACAGAACCTTTAAGAGTTCTGATGAAAAAAGACACAGAATTTATATGGGATAGCTGCCAAGAACAAACAGTAAAAATAATAAAAAAGGCAATATGTAGTAGTCCTTGTTTATCTTTCTTTGAAACTAATGAAGACATTATATTATCTGTGGATAGTTCATCGAGTGCGTTGGGAGCTGTAATTTTACAAAAAGGTAAACCAGTAGCATTTGGTTCTCGTTCATTGAATAGTTCTGAAACAAAACTATTGTCAATTAGAAAAAGAAATGTTAGCTATAGTTTTTGGCTGTTTCAAAATGCATCAATATACTTATAGCCGCAAAGTCTATGTTGAGACAGATCACAAACCATTGGAGACTTTATTTAAAAAACCCCGCCTACAACGAATGATGTTGGCTGTACAAGGTTATAATTTAGATGTGAAATACAAACCAGGTAGATTATTGTTCATACGCTTTCCCGCAGCTGTTCTTATAAAATAGAGCCTAAAATGGAGGATCGAAATAATAGTGTTGTATATCATGTGAAATTGGTACGAGACAGCTTACCAATATCTAATTTAAAGTTAAAAGAAATACAAGAAGCTACCGAAATGGATCCAATCTTAAGAAAAGTCATTAATTAAATAAAAGAGGGCTGGCCAAAAAACATTAATTTAGTTGATAAAGATGTGAGGTGTTACTGGACTTTTAGGGATGAATTAAGTGTGCTGAGTGATATCATTTTGAAAAGCAATTGAGTTCTAGTTCCGAATCGTTTAAGGGTAGCAATGTTACACATGATTCACCAAGGGCATGTAGGTGTAAGTACTTGCAAAACACGGGCTCGCACATGTGTTTTTTGGCCAGAAATAAATAAAGATATTGAATTATTTGTAAAAAATTGTCATCCTTGTGCCAAATATGATTGTAATTTGTCAAAAGAGCCATTGATCACACACCCTATTGTAAGACTTCCATGGCATAAAGTTGGTATTGACATTTGTACGTTAGAAAATAAGGACTACTTAGTGTTTATGGATTATTTTGCAAAATTCATTGAAATTAGTAAGTTAGATAATTTATCAAGTGAGTGTGTAATATTAAATTGTAAATCAGTTTTCGCAAGACATGGCATACCAGTTAATATTGTTACAGATTGTGGAACGCAATTCACATCTGTAAGTTTAAAAAAATTCATAGAAGGCTATAAAATTAATCACATCAAATCAAGTCCCAAACACTCCCAATCAAATGGGCAGAGTGAAAGTGGTGTTAAAATATTTAAAAATATAATGAAGAAATCTAAAGAGGATAATTCTGATCCATATTTAGGCCTTTTAAATTATAGAAATACAGCAAAATCTTATATGCCATCCCCTGCGCAACTACTTTTCTCTAGAAATCTTAATACTTTGTTACCTATTTCTAAGAACTTCTTAAAACCAAAATTATATATATGTGATAAGAGATATGAGGATCACCAAAAAATTGCTAAAAACTATTATGATAAAAATTTAAAGCCTCACTTAGAGTTAACAGCTGGACAAAATGTATATTTTAAAAAGACCTTGGATTCAAATTGGTTAAAAGGACAAATTGTTAGTAAATGCAAGGAACCAAGGTCTTATGTGATTAGGGATAATGAAGGAAGAATATACAGGAGAAATAGGAAATATGTGAAAGAAACACCAATGACAGATTCTAATAGCTTGATTGAAAAGAACATGGGTGCAAATAAAAAGCACTATAAATTTATTAATTCGCCAGAGGCACAAGGAGATTATTATTCTAATAAAAATACTATAGTGAGTGATGAAATAATTAATTCAAATAATAATGATTGTAGTAATGATGGATCAGTGAATAATAAAGAGTGTTTACCAGAGGTACAACCAAATAATCATCTTAATGAAAGTACTGTTGTGAGTAATGAGATAATTAATTCAAATAATAATGATTGTAGTAATATTGAATCAATGAATAATACTGAGACAATCGTTAAAGTAAGTCGTTATGGCCGTAGTATTAAACGACCAAACAGGTTTCAAGATTTTGTTGAATATCCACATTTGGATTAAATTTTGTCTATCTACTTATAATTAAGAATTTTGTATTGATCATTTAATACATTGTAAGAAGGGGGATGTTGAACTATATTGTCTATGATATACTCTGTGCTACAGTTTGCTCTATCTAATCGTAAGGACATCTAAGATGGCGGTCATATATTTTGTAAGAAGTTTTATAATAAACCTTTGAACTACAAGTTACAAGTGATTTATTTAATATTGCCTAATGCAACAAGACAAAAACAGTCTGCCACCTGAAGTAGAGATCCTCCATTTCTAGAGCGAGGGACCCGTAACACAATACCACAACAAATGCATGTTTTACTTTCTTGTCATCCAATTAACAGAATTCTACCCAGCCCTAGTACACTTTACGTGGAATTACGGGGGCGTAATTCAATACGTAAGGGGGCTCCTGATGGTGTCGGAATTGTTTGCAAAAGATCAGCAGACCGATTAGTGACTAGTGGCAAAGATATAGCATCTCTGAGAGATTTGTCAAATGTTATTCAGGAAAACTGTCCTTGCATCAATGTTTTCGTTATTGATGACGAAAATATCCTCGTCGAAAGTCGCTTTCATTGCTAGTGCTAAAGAACAAATACAGACATTTCCACGTACATTGCGTGTCCATCAAGTGTCATGAAATATTGAATATCCAAAAAAATTGAAAATGAAGTCTTTAAGCTGCTTTTGCAATAAAAATTGTAATCATTTCAAAATTGGTGCCATAATATACTCCTCTAATAAAAACGCTCGTCTCCAAGTCGAGGATGTTTATGGACCGGATTCGGAGTCCGAGAACGAGAAGGAGAATCTATTTTACAGTGAGTCATTACACCAAAAGGTGACAAGCACCATATAGTAGATGAACACCAACCGTCGATATCCAAAAAAATATTTAAGAACGGTGATTTTATTCTTGTCAAACTCTTTTCTAAAAATAACAGAGTACCGTTACGTGACTTTGTGTACGGGTTTTGAAGAAGATGACGAAATACAGGTAATTTTCTGTAAAATAGGGGACAAAAGTGGAAAATTATTTAAAGTCGAAGAAAATGATATTTCATTTATCTCAGAAGATCAGATTGTTCAGGCATTACCTATGCCAAATCTTATTTTAAAAGGATTACATAGTACATAGTATATAATATTTGACACATGTGTCAACGACAGGTGGGCATAATAAATCGTTCCATTCATTAAAAAAAAAAGAAGTGCGTCTGACAGGAATTGTCAAAATTGAAATTGCTCGTCATTGTGCCGGATGACAGCCGGTCTTTTCGAGATTAGCGGTGTTCGAGAGAGCTGACTTCGGCGTTGGTGTTGTCGCGACGTCGAACGCGTGGGCAGCGCGCCAATATCACGACGGCCCTTGACCTATCTTCTCTCCGGAGTTGACACCGCTGATTAGCGATCGCGTGGCAGCGTTTTCCTCCAAAAAGTACGATTTTATTATAAACCGATAGACAAGCAACTTTTGCCGCCGAAGCGAAAAGAGGGTAGGTTGTGAGTAGATGCTCTCATGAACTCAGATGATGTTTTGAGGCTTTAGTTTAATACTGCATCCCTGTCACTCCGCCCTCGCACGGCACTCATCATTAGGTATATGAAGGTCGTATTCTTTCCCGCTGGGCCAGCTTACTCTATGGCTCCAGCGCCAAGATTATATCAAATCAATTACACATTGATTTCAGGAGGTTTTTGGTTCCGGCGTTACTGTACAAGAAGTGCCTGGTACCAGTTGGTGGTACAACTTCCTTATTTTCCTCGCTTCTGGTCCCGTTTCTACAAGCAGAAGCCTATCAGAGTAGGGCTGAACCTTCGCCCTCACCCTTTAATAGGGTGCAGTCTTTCCATATTTTTTATCCGTGTCCGTTGGGATTCGACCAGAAGTGGCGCTCAACAATTTTCTATTGTTCAAAAATTAACCATTAATAAAGTTACAAATCCAAGGTAATATTCCAAAACAACCTCATTAGCTCGAGTCACTCACCCCTGAACTGTCTGGGTTAGTCGGCACATCTCCTATTCCTGATAATTACATAATAGTAAATAAATAGTGTAAGATAATTCTGATTTTATATTCATACTATACCCTTGCATTAACAAAATTAATTGTAACAAAGGGCAGAGGATGTTCTACAGTTTCAAAGAGTCGGAGAACGTGTTTGAGAAAGCTTAATCATTTTTTTTTTATTAATATGGGCAAGAGAGTGCCTTTCATTTATTTTATTTTATGATTAAAATATATTCATTTACCCCCGGTTTCAATAACCAAAAAACTATCCGTTTTTGCTACCATCCGTAGCATTTCCTACCGATGGTAGCAAAAAAAGTGTTAACATACCAGTAGTAATAACATACCATCGGTAGGTAAAGCTACCGACGGTGTGCTACTAACGGATTGATCTGATACTGATAACCGTTCGTAGGCAAAATGTATGAAAATGGCGCCAAAAGGTGTTTCAATAAAAAATGTATCCCTCAGTAGAGCTGTCAAACTTACTGTCCGTAGGTATTTTGTCAACCTGCCAATTTTGATCGGTTGTTGCGTACCGATTGTTGTATTTCGCGAAGTTTTTAATTTTTATATCACTTTTTCCTAATAGCAAAATGAGTAGTAGTTCAGAAAGTGATATAGAAAATATGTTGAACTTGTTATCAGACTGGGAAGACTCAGATACAAATGACGAAAATAGGCGTTCTAAAGTTTATAAAACAAGACCGGACTACTTAACAATATTAGATGACTTTGAGTTTCAAATAAGGTTTCGGCTCGACAAATCATCTGTAGAACAAATATTAATTGAAATTTATCCCTTTCTTAAAGTTACAGGAGCCAGGTCAGTACTTAATTGTGGTTTAATAAAATAATGAACAAGTAAAATTGTAATATTACAAATTGTATTTATTATTTCAGGAATTATGGTGTATCTCCTTTACATCAGTTGCTATTAGTTCTAAGGTTTTATGCTTTGGGTACAATGTTACTATCAGTAGCTGATTTTGCAGGCGTATCCAAAGCAACAGCTTGTCGCATTGTATGTAATGTTGGTTGTGCTATTGCACAATTGTATAACAAATATATTTATATACACAATAATACTGAAGAAGATTTTTATTTGATTTCACAATTTCCACGGGTTCTGGGTGCAATTGATGGAACACACATCCGAATACAATTTCCATGTGAGTATTTTTTACATTGCAATTCTTATTTAACTAACTTAGTATACTATTAGGTCATTATAATATTTTGGCACTTTATTTCATAATACACAATACAACTTACTTGGGTCGATCAACTTTTTAACCGACATAAGCTTGTCCCGACGATGTAGCATTCGAAAACGACTAAATTAAGATAATTTAAAAATTATTTCTATGTTCCATTCAATTAACAGTTCAGTAACCTTAATAATAAACATATGATATCTAGATAAAATTAAGAAATAAACGTTAAAACTATGGTAATTCAGCATACGACTTATTGCCTTCCATACAAATTACAGCTGTCCCCAGAGCGAGGTGGCTATATGTAATTGGTAATTTAAGAAATTATTTCCTTTAAACATTTTTAAGTCTGCTAATAAATTGCTTATAAATTAAACAAGGTTTAGTTTGTACTTAGTTAAATATAAAAATAGTTTATGATTTAAAAAAAAAAGGCCCTATAACTGTGTCCCGAATTCATCTCATTTTGTAGTGTATGCAGAGTGACCGCGTAAAAAGTAAACAAACATTATGCTACATGTCACAAATTTCTAGTGAAGAACAGCGATATGACCTTTGTGTCATATCGCGGTGGCGAGCCTTTGATTCCAGCTGCCGCGCCGCCAGTCCGCGGCAAGCTCTCAAGGAGTGCGCGTGTGATTATTCAGTGTCGGCGGAGTTACCGGAATATTTCGATGAACAGGTAAATGTTTTTCATTTCTTTATCAGATTTTGATGGTCTCTAAGGCTGATTTCCTATGGGTCAATTCAAAACGTTCGCAATATAACGAAATTTTTATTTACAAGTTATTACGTAAAAAATGTCTGCTGAGTTACCTGTATATTACGTTACCAAAAAGGTAACTCTAAAGACAATCTAGGTAACTTTTTAGACATTATGCGATTTTCAAAGGCAAAGTGTCATAATCAATTTATTAATTACTTTCAGATTGTAAACTTACTAATAATGGCGTTAACAGCGGCCGAAAAGCAAAAAAGGTACCGAGAACAATTAAAAAAAATTCCTGACAAATATGAGGAGGCGAAACGAAAACACCGTGAACTTTATCATAAATCTAAAAGATTTGTCAAAGATTTAACGCCAAAAGAAAAGAGAAATGCTAATACTATCTGGAAACTACGCCAACAGGCATACCGCAAAAAACTGAAATCTTTACAAAATGTCTTGAACGTCACACCTCCGAGTTCACCAGCTTCTAGTGTTCACAATATATTTGAAGGTCAGCACACGCCACCTTTATCTCCTGTACCGGATTCACCGTCAGTTAGGGGACGAAAGAAAGTTAGAAAAGATAGAAGCAAAGTTTATAGGGAAAATGAAGGTTTGAAAAAAGAAATCGAGCAGTTAAAGAGAACGGTTGAAAAGTATAAGAAAAGAGCGCAACGGGTAAATTTAAAGAAAAACGTTGAAGACAACATACTGCATGATAAATACAAAATTTTGGCTTCAAGCATTAAAAATACATACCATGAGACGAAAAATCGTAAAGGAAAGACCATTTTGAAAAATATTCTGAATACGGAACAAATAGAAGAGTCCAGAAGAAAGACACAATTATTTAAAGATGTGCTAGGAATTAACAGAAAATACAACTCCAAAAAACAAAAAAGTACCAAGTCTGATTCGCTGAAAGGTGAAATACAGAACTTTTTTCTACGGGATGATATCACAAGAGCTACAGCAGGTAAGAAAGAAACAGTCACCAAACATGGAGAGAAAGTTCAAAAAAGACATCTTCTTGAAACACAACGTAATCTATATAACATTTTCAAGGCGGAAAATCCGGATTTTCCATGTTCTTACTATTACTTTACGAAAAATGACCATTTTACGTCGTCAAACCATCCGTTGATGCAAGAGAAATGTGTTTATGTAAAAAACACTCTAATTTCTCATATAAAACTGAAGCTCTTAAACAAAAAAATGTGATTGACGATGAAAACTTAAGCAATATTATTCGGGATACAGTATGCAACGACCTTTCTAAAGATTGTATGTATGGTGATTGTAAGGAATGCAAAGATATGAAAATTCAATATAATGAACAAAATATTAATGGAACTATACAATACAATGAATGGATCAGGAAGAAAGTAGAATATGAAAAAGATGAGAAACAATGTAAATCATTTAAGAATGTTAGGGAAGTGAAACAGGAAGATACAAAAGAAATTAGTTAGAAACTTTGAGAAGGATTTGACACATTTTAAGAAACACGTTTTTAACATAAAATCGCAATTTCGTAATTTTCACCAGTGCTTGAATGCTCTTAAAGAAAAGGAATACCTGATCGTCGCTGATTTTAGTGAAAATTATGAATGTAAATATTTCAAGGAAACTCAAGCGCATCATTTTAACTCAAGAAACCAAGTGTCCCTTCATACTGTAATGGTTTACACATGGGACGCAGAGACAAAATATAAAGCAAACTCATTTTGCACAGTTTCGTCTTCAAACTGTCACCAACCTGCTGCCATCTGGGCACACTTGGAACCTATTTTGGATTGGATCAAAAAAGAACATACTTCTGTTGATACTGTACATTTTTTCTCGGACGGCCCATCGACACAGTATCGCCAGAAGCAAAATTTTTACTTCCTTTGCACGCGATTGTTCGACTTTGGATTTTCCGCAACTACCTGGTCATTTTTTGAGGCAGGGCATGGAAAAGGCCCTGCAGATGGAATTGGTGGGTATCTAAAGCGCACAGCAGGGGATTTTGTAACTGCTTTGATCCAAAAATCTTTAATGTACTCAGCACTGGCCCCGAATGTGACTTTTCATCAGATGACGATTTACCACTGGGCATCTTTGCAGCAGGCCGAGTTGACACACCGCCTGCAGAAGATTTGCCAACAAATGACAACGCTGTACTTCATGAATTGCAGAACATCCCTCGTCAAAGTATCTACAAAGCGGTTTATGGATCCTCATCTGATGATGACGAAGTCGTACATGAAAAAGGAAACCTAGCTTCAATAAACAATAAAGAAAATATCATGCCCAAGCTGTCGCGTATTTTTTTTTGCAAATATGTTAGATAAAGTAGGGTTTTGGTGAATAAAAGATTTAAGTCTAGTTCAGACACTTTATGTGGTTTATTAATGTTGTTTTCATAGAATTGTTAAATCTAAACTGTTTAAGACAACTATTCCACTATTCCTTAACGGACAATAGCTTAGGTACTAGCTTTACAGGTTCAAGGTCGGTGTGCTTGGTTGATAACAAAGGTACAAACCTTTAATAATTAAAGTATTAGGAAATTATATTACTTGGATCCTTCACTGCTTTGTCGAGGGTGGAGTTCAGGATTTCACCGAGATTATCCCATACTCACCACACCTTCTTTTTATGTTACCACGTGTATCACGTAGTACTATTCTCCATCAAAATATAACTCCAATATACGCATCCAATATACGCCTCCTGTAACGGAGTTACATAGTTACACATCAACACCAATGTCTTAAGCAAACACATGTGCGGAACCCTATTGGTTTCGTGCTACCTTGGCTTACCTGTCGTAGGAAAATAGGCCTGCCAAGCTTTTATTGTCTAATATCAACTCCAGGCATGGAAATCACAGAAATTTTAACAACACATGTAAGGTTTCCGGTCGTCGCCACGACAAAATAATCTCATACGTTCATGTGAACTGGGTGGAATCTGAAAGAAAACGAATTATGAACGATCCGAAACAATCTCGGAAAAACGTAAAAACGAAGGATTATTACATAAAACTCACCAAATTAAGTAGATATTAAAGGATTGATTTCCTGCAAAAGGCGACCAGTGAAATAAAATTAAAATGACATCTGTCAAATGGGTTGTCACTACGTATATTCCAATCTCCCAACTTTTTTAGGGTTGCCAGAGAAAACTTATTAAAGGCCACAAAATTTACCACGTTACACTACATTTATTTCCAGGGTAGGAATGAAAACCTAGAAAATAACAACCATCTAAAGAAAGTATTCAACCTTTCTCATCAACAATCTTACAATCCTTAATATGCCATTTACCCACAGGTTTGCCATTTTCATCCTCCAACTCATAAACGAGATTGGACAGTCTCCGTACAACTCGACATTTCTCATATTTTGGAGCTAGCTTTGTAGAAAAATACTTGCCAGCGTCGCTTTGTTTCATATTACGTTTCCATACGATATCGCCTATCTGGAAACTTAAATCACGACGTCGTTGGTTGTAATGCTTGGCGTTTTTCTCATGAGCCTTCAGCAACTCGGACTTGACAGTGTTGTATATTGACTTGAGTTCCTCGAGTTTGTCGTGATGTACTCCACGGGATTCGAAGATAATTTCGTCAATGTCTTCAAACTCCGAATAAACTTTCCCATCCGGAACTGCTTCACGGCCGTGGACCAACATGAAGGGAGTGAATGTCATCGAAGAACTTACTGAGGTATTAATAGCAAACTGAATCTTATGTTGACGATGATTGCAACGATCCACAACCGTCAACAAGTACTATGGATGTCCTAAAGCAGGTGTCTGTTGGTGATTTTCTACATGTAAATGTTTATACAAGCGCAAATAAAAAGAAGATTTCTTTTTATGTATGTAAAGCTTTGTCTGATATTGATGAAGACGGTGAAGTTAAAGTTGTGTTCCTCCGAGCTGTGACTAAGGATGCAAAAAGATTTCGAATAGAGGAAACGGATATCAGCTACGTTGATTATGAAGACATTATAACTATCTTACCAACTCCTGCAATTGTAAAAAGAGGACACCGAATTTACTACGAATTTAAGACTGCAATCAATATTTTCGAAAAATAAGACTAATTTTGATCTCTTTCAAGTTATTTTCTACTTATTATTTGTATTTTGAGTTTTGACGTTATAAAAAAAATACTTATTAATATTTTGCCATATAAAATTAGTACTTTAATAGATATAGTATAATAGTTAGGTTCAGAAGTATATAGATTGTTAAATTTGTAATTAATGTTGTCTCTTGAGTTACCAAAATTGTCTCATGCGTTACGATTTGTCCCTTAATTTGTAAGCCGTTTTTGTAAGGTAACAATATGTGATTGATTTTATTTGTATTATTATTTTATGTTAACGGTATAAGAAGATTATTTACTTTAATTTCAGAGAAAAGTGTGATTTTATTTTAAGTTTTTAAATTAGTACAGAGAAAATTAACAATATGTATGACTTGTTAGTAACTCAGCATACATATTTCTCATATTTTAAGGCCTAGGTTTTAAAATTATATACAAATTCTGTATACCAAACTATTTGATTTTGCATGACTGAATAAATCCACCAAAATAAAAATTTAAGACTTTTATTGTTTAAGAATTGCAGCGTAATCACTTTGAGAAACTCCAGTGACAAAACTATGGGTCAAGATTTATACTTTTGAGTTTTTCAATTAGAAGTAGTTCATTAAGTTCGCTGCTCAATGAGGAAACCGTATCTCAGATATATTTAACACACTTCTGAGTAAATAGTTAAATACTCAAAAAAATATTTTAGAAACATGCCGATATTTTTGCCCATTATGTCGGTTTAAAAGTTAATCGACCCACTTGTTTATAACTTTTTCTCATAGGTTCTCAGATTGGAGAGGAATTTCGAAACAGAAAAGGCTATTTTTCATTAAATGTGCAAGCAGTGTGCAATGACAAATTATTTTTTATGAATGTTATGGCTCGTTGGCCAGGTTCAGCCCATGACGCTACTATATTAACAATTCTGTATTAACCCTTAAATTGTTTATGTCCGTTTCATGTGACGTGTTATAAAAACGCACACAAATATGATTAGAATTAACGCGCGTAACTACCACTTGATACTTCGCGTATTATAGGCTATCCTTGTTGCACTCATGCATAATAATCTCTCTTTCGCTCGGTGGGTGTGCTGCAGCGATCATTTGAAATTTTGCAACGGCCGAGTAATTTTGCACTGATCGAAAAAAATAATATTATGTAAGTATGTCTTTGTTTAATATGCTTTTTATGTTTAATTTGGTTAGAATAATAATATATCAATAATCTATAATAGTTTTTGTTACATTAGTATTTGTATTTCTCTTTCAATATCAATATAAATCTTAATGTCACTTATAACGGACATTGCCATTTAGTCTCACAAGGAGTAACTTTAATGTTTGTCTCTTGTAACGGACATCGCCACTTTTCCTCGAAAATAGTAACTTTTATATTTGTCTCTTATAACGGACAATGCCAGTTGGTTATTAGTAAAATTTAAGTTACCTGTTTTCATTATATCATGGTATAATAATTATAACGAGATAAAATGCGTATAGTAAAAGTTTTAGTAATGGCTGTATTCATTTCAGTAATATGGTGAGGAGGGGTTGGCGGTCTCGACATATTCTTGCATTAATACCTCCTCCTGATTCTGAAGATTCAGAGGTTGAATCTGACGATGATGAAGAGGGAAGAATACTAGCGCGTGAGTACTTCAAGAATAACTACAATGGCTCTCACACTTCTTCGCCAGTAAGAAGTATTTCGCCTGCTATATATGATCTTATGCGGGATCTCAGTGACGGTGAAGAATCAGATGACCACGTTAACCAAAATGTACCAATGCCTATAACATCAGCATCATCCTCATTTGTATCTACATCTCAAGTTTTATCACCTTGTATTGTACCGGAAACACCATCTACAACTTCTGTAAGATCTCCACTTACACCAAGTACAGTCACAACACGTCGCCGTACCAAACAATTCGCTAATATTGAGTCGTCCCCTATGCCACTTCTACCTACAGAACCTGCTGCAAAAAAGCGCAAACTATTACAATTAGAATTTACATTTAAGAAAACTAAATATACAGGAGCCGTGGAAGTGGATACAAGTGTTAGTTTTGCAGAACAGTTTCAATTACAGTCTCCGCTGCAATATTTCAAAACTTTTTTTAGTGACGATTTGTTAGATTACATTGTAGATATGACAAATCTGTATTCAGTACAACAACAAGGTAAATCTATCAGCGTAAATAGAAATAGAAAGGAAATAGAAATAGTATTAGGTATCAATATAATTATGGGAATTGTAAAGATGCCAGCAATTGAAGATTACTGGAGTAATGATCTTAGATTTGAGCCAATTGCGTCTTCTATGGGGATAAAACGTTACAGATCTATTAAACGTTTTTTACATTTTTGTGATAATATTAATGTAGACAAGAATGACAGCTATTACAAGGTATCTGCTGTGATGGAACATATCCGGCAGCGGTGCCTCAAAGTGGAAGAAGAGAGATCATTTGCTGTTGATGAAATGATTATACCGTACAAAGGCAGAAAAGCTGGCAATCGTAAGCAATATAATCCTAAAAAACCCCATAAATGGGGTTTTAAATTCTTGGTTCGAGCTGGGACTTCAGGGATGGTGTATGATTTTTTTGCCTATGATGGGGCAAATACTTTTCAACAATTTGATTTTACAGAATGGGAACAAAATTATCTCGGTGTTGGGGGCAAAACAGTTGTCAGACTATGCAAAACTATATCCAACCCGATTCTTTCCACGGTTTACTTCGACAACTGGTTTATTTCTTTGGAGTTACTTTATTATTTACGTAACGAGATGGGATTACTATCTTTGGGCACAATCCGGAAAGACAGACTGCGCAATTGTCGCCTAAGTAGTGACAAAGATATGAAAAAGAAAGGTCGTGGGACATTTGAGGTTGTATGTGATAATGCGAAGAGATTGGCTGTTACGAAGTGGGTAGATTCACAATGTATCCACATTGCCAGTACTTTCTGTGCCCAAGATCCGATCGGAACAATAGAAAGATACGACAAAAAAGAGAGAAATAGAACTTCTGTACCATGTCCACATGTAATCAAAATATATAATACGCACATGGGCGGTGTTGACATTGCTGATATGTTGACTGCACTGTACAGAATACGTATGAAGACAAGGCGATGGTATATGGCAATATTTGCTCAGGTAATGGATATTGCTCTCAATAATAGCTGGCTTTTGCACCGTCGTGATTGTGTACAACTTGAAAATGATAAGAAATTGTCACTGAAAAAATTTCGTATCCAGGCTGCTCTTGCACTCATCAAAATCAATACCAAATCTAGTTTTCAAAAAGGTAGCCTGGATCCTGGATCTGATACCATCACCAAGCCTTTCATACCCCGTCCCGTCAACGAATCACGTCTTGATTGTTACGATCATTTTCCCCTCTATACATCTCAGGGGCGATGCCGTTTTTGTAAAAATGGAAAGACGATGGTGATGTGTTCAAAGTGTGAACAAAGACTTTGTTTCACTGTTAAAAAAAATTGTTTTTTATTATTTCATAAAAATAAGTGATTGTTTTGTTTGATTTTGTTTTCATATGTTTATTTTTGTAACAAAAGGTGGATTAATGTTAGTGTTGCAATTAGTTTTAAAATTGTGGTTCCTGATTTCTATATTGATCTCTAAATTAGTCATATGCTTAATGTTTTTCTAATAAATTTTATTTTTCTTATATTGTTTAATTATCTTGCTAAACTGGCAATGTACGTTTCATGTGACGTATATGTTACGCTCAATTTCATAGGCTAATTGGTAATGTCACTTATAAATGACATTAAAAAACCCTGTCTAGATAAAATAAATTTATTTAATTTTCATATAATTTATCTTTATTTATCCCTCAATTACACATATTTTTATAAAAAGTCTCAAAAAATCTTTAGGAAAAGGTACTGCCAATTTAAGGGTTAAAAGGTAAATTAGTATTATTAAAAGAAACTATTTTATATAAAAAAAAAACAATAATCATAATTTACCAAACAAAGCTATAAGATTCCTAATTAAATTAATTAAAAATTAAATGTATTATTATCATCCTAATATAATAAATAATTTTACATTATTTACATTAATAGTTATTTATTTTTGATAAGTAATTCAAATCATTATATTATAATTTCATTTTTAGCTCAATGTGAAAGTAATTGCTTTGGAAATCGTTCGTTACTTGGTGACAGTGCATATCCATTAAAGCCCTATCTTTTGACACCATTATTGAACCCAGTAACAGCTGGTGAGCAATTGTATAATGAAGCTCATATTAAAATCAGAAACACTATTGAAAGGTACCTTTACAAAATTTTCATAGAAGTATTCCATTTAAAATATATTCTATGTGCATATAAAAAAGTAAAATTAGTATTATTAAAAGAAACTATTTTATATAAAAAAAAACAATAATCATAATTTACCAAACAAAGCTATAAGATTCCTAATTAAATTAATTAAAAATTAAATGTATTATTATCATCCTAATATAATAAATAATTTTACATTATTTACATTAATAGTTATTTATTTTTGATAAGTAATTCAAATCATTATATTATAATTTCATTTTTAGCTCAATGTGAAAGTAATTGCTTTGGAAATCGTTGGTTACTTGGTGACAGTGCATATCCATTAAAGCCCTATCTTTTGACACCATTATTGAACCCAGTAACAGCTGGTGAGCAATTGTATAATGAAGCTCATATTAAAATCAGAAACACTATTGAAAGGTACCTTTACAAAATTTTCATAGAAGTATTCCATTTAAAATATATGCATTAGAATTTTAAAAGTATTTTGTTTTTAATCTATAGGTGTTTTGGCATCTGGAAGCATAGATTCCCAGTTATGGCGCTAACTATGAGATTGAGTCTTCCTCGAGTAAATTCAATTGTAATAGCAACCGCTGTACTTCATAACATCTGTCGCCATAGAAGTCTCGATGATTTGCCCTCCGAGATCACCATTCCAGATGCT